CCTTCCGGCAAAATCAACCGCATCTCTCAACCAGTCATGTCATCTCTACTACCCTCAATACCTCGCGTCTCTTTCACAAATTACCGCCCCGTCAACGCGCTGTGACCCAGCCACTGACCAACACCTCCATCCTCAGCTCCTCAACTAACGCCTCGACATCTCAAAAAACTCACAAAAAGAATTTGTCTGACTGCCCATCCTCGGAATCTAATCATCCCTCCTCTTCAGCCGGTCGTCCACCTACCCCTACGCTCACCCAACTCGAGATCCCCTCACTGATCGCCCACACCCGCACTCGGCGCGAAAACCAGGAACCGTCAGGCTCACGTTCGATCGTCACCAGTCTAGGCCTTGCGCCCATCTCCCAGTCCTTCAACCATCCATTCAGCTTCAACCCACATCATCCTCCCACCAACCCAACCGCACTTCATGACTTTCCCTCCTACAACGCAACATCAACCGATGCTCTCCGCTTTGTCTCACAAGGCTCATCTATCCCCTCACTCTTGAATCCCTCACGCCTCAAACCCGTCGCGAATGACCCATCGCAGACTGATCATCAAACACAAGCGGAAGGGATCCATACCAACCAGCAGACCAAAGATCCTAATCCGCTCCTTCAAGAAACCCCTCTTTCATCCCCGAAGATCGCGAACCATCCATTTCAAACCCGGGCCACTTTTCTGTCAGTCCCTAATCGACATGCCGACTTGAACGCGTACAGCCGACAACATCAGGATCCACACCCCCGTTCAACCACCCCCGACACCTCTCAGTCTCCTCCTCCCCCGCCCCTCAAACCAAATGTAACAGGAAGTCAACCTCGGCAAACGCTTCGTCGAGGGGTTTCATTTGAACCATCTGGCAAATCGTTCTGTAAATACGCACTTCCCAAGCCCCGCTTAGATGCAAATCCAGCCAGTCAAGAATCTACACGCCAACGCAAGGGCGGTCATAATCGGCAGAACTCGACAACCGTGAACAATCCTACTGTTGTCTTCCCTTCCAAGACACCTGTGATCGAATCTGACACCAACACGGAAGAACTGAAAGAGCGTTTTTGGAATTCCAAGCCCAATAACCTCACTGCCAATCAAGTCTGGGCAGAGATTTACATATCCAGGCTCGAGCGCAAACTGTGGAAGGCACAAGCTGAGGCAGACATCTCGGCAGATTGCCTCGCCTTTTGCATCCCTTCAGGCTCCAACGGTGGTATTCAAAAACCTCAGAATAGTCGACGACGCCGCGTGGCTTCGGCGTCAGATGCTGTGCAAGCTCGGCCGGGAGCATCACCATCACGTCCCAAAAAGCTCAGTCAGAGCAAGGAAGGAACAAACAAGAGTAAAAGGTTTGATTTAACAGCCTTTTACAAAGCCTCTGGGAATGAGCAAACATGTAACCAACTGATCCGCTGTCAGCGTAGCAGTCCTCTGGAGATCAGCGACGGCCCTCTGCGCCATCTGCCATGTATCAGCTCAAGTAATTATCAACCCATTGACGTTATAATACCCTATAGACCTGATCTTCTATCGTCTCCTCGGCACCAACCCCAGTCAAACTTTCGCCCCGCTACAAACCCCCGAGTAATTCGGCGTGAAGCATCCACCAATTTTCCCAGAAGTAATGATTCGGAGCGCGGTTATCGCATCGTCCTACCAGTAGCCAATTCCCAGCAGCCTAAATCGCAGAGACGTAGATCTCGATCTGTTCCCGAGTTGCGACAGATACATGTCCAATTACCATCCCCACCTCAGTCGATGAAAGATATGACTGGGATTTCTGATGATCTTACATACAAGCATCCAGAGTTCTATATCGATAGACCGTGGCCGGTGGAGGACCCCACTTCTCCGACCACCCTTTCAATACCCCAAACGCTGCTCGATGCCATGTTTCCGCCCGCCCCAGACTCGGCCAGAAACACACCTCCGTACCCTTCAGAGTATGTAGCTCACATTCCACAGACTCTCAAATCAATCATAAATTGACTTGTTTTTTTGCTATTCCAGGAATGTTTTATCGCTAGGCTCTAGTAGTCGGCCTGTTCACTGTGTTTCCTCTACCAAAGACCTCCACAGGTCAGTATGTGCTACTATTGAAGTTCCAGATGGCACTGTGGCGTTTTCCCGCTCAGATTCCGCCGATGCCTCCAACGAATTGTCGGAGTCAATATCTAAGGGCCCATTATATTCGCTTCCCCGCTTTATTGAACCGCGCCCTACGGCCGTTGTTGCATTGCCTCCACCCCCCCGGAAGCGCAACCCCACCCCAGCAGTATCCACCCACAGCTCGAGTCAGAATTCATCTGTTAGAACCAAACGGAGCACGAACGAATCGATGGTGGCTCATCTGTCCTATCCAACCCCGTCTGAAAAAAGTGGGCTCGAATTCCCAGTCCCCCCTTCTATTAGATTGAGCCGCAGATCTTCTTCGCCCCTCACACCCCCAAATCCAAGGACCGATCAGGTGGTCACGAGTCCCATCCAGCCCACATCTTTCGTCTATGAGACTTCTCAGCGAATACAGAGACGGTCAATCTCGTCCATCTATCCGATCTCTCCAACTTGTCAATCTCCGGATGACAGTGCCCACAGATACAGTGGATTCCTCTCACACGTCTCTAGTCGACCATGCTCTCTTGGTGTGACTAGCCCTTGGATCGACCGAGAGGGTAGAGATGATCGGATTACTACCTTTACGCCTAGCAAGCCGCCCCTTTCGGCCCTCTATCTTACTTCTTCACCTCAAATACATCTCGCGGGGGATGATGAACCAAACACAGTGGTGAATTCCATGAGTGCGTTTCGCGATTCTACTCACTCGGGTGGAAGTGCGTCCAGTCATTCGGCCATTGACCCTGACAAGCCTATCAATCAAGCCGATCTAGTAAGTGTCTCTTATAGGAATTGAACAAAAACAAAAACCAATTGGTGACCTCGATAAGCTGAAATTGATTGGGTTTACCTCAGTTTTATCAAGTACCCGCCTCGCCACGCCGGAGTCTCATTCGAGATTATGATGATCATATGAAGCAAACCACAGAGAACCAAGTGGGAGCAAGCACATCGACCGCAGTTATCGAACGATCCGTCTTGATTGACGAGATCCTGGCTGGGTATGCAGGTCCCCGGCGAACGCTGATGACACGACCAGTCCGACCCCGGCTGAAAACCCAAGAATTGGTCACGGAGTCTGCCTTGGACCTTGCAAAAGATCAAGTGAGTTGATTTAAGCGGCTTGCAGCAACCTCTACTAGGACCAATCTCATCTCACAATCTCTCTTGCCAACCAGGATGAAGCGGGATCCACTCAGTCAGCCCCCGTCGCGAACGACGTGGACTCCTCTCAGTCTGGCACCCGATCAGCCGTCACCCAGAGAATCCCCCGTATCATCGATGCCTTCGAAGCCCGACTATCTTCACACTCACGGTATAGCTCACACTGATAATCCAATCCAATCCTGCTTTCCATATCTACAAATGAAATATATCCTGTTGAGAGGCGAAGTTACGTCATATTGAACGCCTCCTAACTATGCTCATAAATTGTTATGCATACGTATACATATACCCCTCCTCTACTTCAACAGAAACATACACAAAAATAAACCGTCAGATCAACAATCTAGCTGAAAACTGACCCTGTACAAATCCCGACGCAAGTTTATCTTATCTAGTCACATCTTTTTTTCGTCTTTTCGTCGTTCATCACTCGAACGTTAATTCCGGATCGTCCCTTAATCGTTTTTTTTTTTTTTTTTTTTTTTTTTTTTTTTCAATTGAAGCCCTGTTGTTTTCATATGTCTTGTCTTCCCGTTCAAGCAAATTTTCTCTTGCTCTCCTTTTTAATCATTTTTGTGCTCGTTGTTATTTTTCTTTCTTTTTTTGTCTTCCCCAGCGGAACAAAGCAAACCCTGCTCTTGATGATTTCACACTTTTCTAAAAATAATAATCTGCGAATCGACATGAAATATTAGATTTAACATGTGTTTCCTCGCTATGTTATCTTTCTTGACTATATTGTGATCACAAGGATCATCCGTTCCCTAGATTATGTAGCTTCGGAGTTGGCCATGATCTTGGTAGCTAGCAGAGGACCAGCAGCCTGTGAGACCAACTGTATCACCCAACACCTATGTTGGACAAAGGTATTCTTAATAGACTTGCAAAATCTCCCAGTCAAATTAACATCATTCCATGATATGCTCTTGGGTGAATCAAAACATTGCATGACCACCTGAACAGGGTCAAAATGATCTGAGGAAGGATGAATCAAAAAGCTTGAAAACAGATAATGGCAAATGACTGACATCAATTAAGATCCATGAAGAAACCAAAATAAAGGAGTTTTCTGCAGCTGGACAGCAACATAGTATTCAAGGACTCATTACAAATACCTTCTCTTCTGTGGTTCAAGTTTAACTTCCAACCCCAGTTTTTCAAGATGAGAAATGGGTGTGAGGGCCTCCATGGCAGAAAGAATGGCTGGCTGGTCTGCCATTGGGATCAGGACATGTCTCTGGCATCAGATAGCATCCAAAACTTGGTGAACAGCAATTCAACTCACAACATATAACCTTATATTACTACTCACAGGAGCCATGAAAATCCCCCTTATGAATGTCAGCAATTGAAAACCCTGAATTTTTGGCAAATTCATACATTTTTTGGAGCTCATTCAGGCACATTTTGATTTTGATTTTGATTTTGATTTCCAGTTTCATTTTATATATATTTGAATAGGCTCAGATTTCAGCCAAAAAAATTGTTCATTTTTTCTGCAATGAATGCACTGAGACTTATTCCTTTGGAGACAAAAATTGTATACATTTCTTGTGTGTGTGCATTTTTTTTTACCAGGAGACATATTATCACTTTCATACATTTTTGGTTACTATCTCCCCTTCTTCAGGAGATATCTAAAGGTTTGGGGTTACAGGTGAATACCCTTGCCTCCAAAAACAGTGATTTTTAAAACTTTGGCAACTGGCATTTAGTTTTTTTTCTAACACAAATATCCACTTGAGTGTTAACTTGAGGTCAAGGGAATTTTTAACACTCTGGAGGCTTAAAAGAGCTCAAAAAACAATAAAATACAAAATATTCTTGATTTGCATTTCAGACATCCTGAAAATCCAGGGTTGGTTCATGCCACATGGCATCCACAACTGTAACTTGGTCAAAGAATTTTGGGTATCAAATTACATTTTTTTTTTCAAAATGTTGCTTGTGGAATCATGCAGACATAGAATCAGTCAACACAATCTCAAAAAATAACACCTAAGAAAAGGGGATTAATAAATGTACCCCCCTTTTCTGCTATCCACACCCGGTTTTTCACACCTGCTTTTCTGCTTTTACACCCGGTGTAGTATTCCAATTGCGTTTCAAGTATCAAATTGCATAAAGTCACAGTTCAATATGTAGAAGGGCATATATTCTTAGGCGTATGATGGCATAATCACATTCTACGGGTCATTTAACCCATAGTCACTCATGGGAACCACTAGGCTAGCTCCACTCAGTCAAAAGTTATTTGGGATTTAAATTTTATTTGCAGAGAAAATGCTTAATGCATAATGTAAACCCCAAGTTGGCCTTAGTTTGTTGACATATTCAATATTCATTGCATTGGGTAACCACAAGTTAGCCACATTGTTTGTAGGTACACTGAGAATCTTGTTTAGGGCTAGAACCACAAGTTGGCCATTTATAGATTATAGGTTAGGGCTAGAACCACAAGTTTGCCATTTATAGATTATTGGTTAGGGCTAGAACCACAAGTCAGCCGGGTTGTAAAATAGACTATTTAAGGAGGGGCTTTCCCCCCTCATTCCAATTTTTCATCATCTCCTCACAACAGATCATCACCTCATCTGATCATCAACCAGACAGAACAGAGCAATCAATCCATACATTAACCAGTGTGATCTTAATCAAGTGCCCCATTGAGATCATTCAGCCATTGAGAAGCATAGGAAAAAGAAAGTAGCAACCAGTACAACTGGTGATCTTAAACAAGAGACAGTGATCTTAAACCATTGTGTTCTTGACTAAGATTCAAGGAGGAAGGGAAAGACACTTTCAATAGTCACATTTTTCCATAATATCATCTCATAAATTCACATTCATCATCAGTACATACGTCAATCATTTTTCAAAATACATAAACATATAAACAGAAAAACACCTCTTACTCAACATTTCCACTCAAATAGTCTGCTGAATCCACGTTGATCTAGGTTTGATAAGAGAATGCTACACATAGTTTTCTCTATCATCAGTTTTTGCCACAACAATAAATAAATTGTTGTGTTAACTCTTGTGTAGTACAATAGAGGGGCAGGTCTTTCAAACCAGCCGTAACAGTTGTAGTGGATCATTACAAATGTGATATATCTCATCTGCTATTTCCCCCTCACAGGACTGCCACCATTCCCAAAGGAGTTCTCACACCGGTTTTTCCTAGCCTTTTTAATTCATTTTTTGGTGATTCCAAGTATGCTAAAAATCATTTAAAATCCAGCATTATCTTTGGGCATGTTAAAAATTCCCAAAAGAGCATTTCAATTTTTTTTTATTTTTCTCACCCATTTTTTCCCAATTTTTTTTCTCCCTATGAACTTTTGAAAACTTGAATTTTAGATAAAACTTATTATTAATTGTTAATTTTTTAATTTTTCTCCTCCATATAGATGGTACCATTCAAGATATTCCTTATTTTGTCCATTTGTATATAACTCAAAACCAACAACATTGGGATTTCCAAAATGAAATCAAATTTGGTTCTTTATAGATTTCCAAAGATTGGGCAATATCAATAATAAATTTAAACTTACTTTGAGCTTTCAAAAACTCAGGCAGAAAAAAAACCCCTGATGAATAAATTATTAAATTAAAGTTAAAATTTCTCTTTTGAGGATTTTTTATATACCCAAAAAGAACATTCAATTTTAGAAGATTTTTAACATATTTGGAATTGCCAAAAAATGAATTACAAAGGCTGGGAAAAACTGGGTGTAAAAGCAGAAAAGCGGGTGTGAAAAACCAGGTGTGGATAGCAGAAAATGGGGTATGTTTATTGATCCCCTAAGAAAATTGAATCAAGAAGCTTTTTTGCATAGAGTCAAGACATCCAAATCATTAACAGTCTGTGGAGAAGATACCATTTTGTCATCTGTGAATAAATATGGAGCACTTCATCCTCATCATTGCTTTCATTGTTTTTGAAAATTCAAACAATCAACAAACCACTATGGCATCTATATCTGGCATTCAAATCAGATCCTCACATCTAATTTTTGGCCCCTCTTCATATATCAACTCTACACAATATTTACCACCAGTCATGGCTATGGGGCAGCTCCATAACACACCTATTGTGGTTTTTGCACCACAATGGCAGTTATACTCTCAAAGCCTCTGGTGGGATCTTGTAGACAAACAATTTTTCCTGAATTACCAAATTTTATCTCCAGAATTTACACTCCCATCAGCCCAAAATCCCAAATTGGTGTGAAAATGAACCTCACAAACCATGCCTTAACTATTCTATTCTTATTCACAACATGCTGTGTAAAATCATAGATAAGCATGATAAATGGATTCAGATTAAGATAACAGAAGTCTGCAACACAAATTCTTGAAAAATGATATCTTAAGCCATGGTAATGAGGATCATCAAACATAGAAAATGAACATTGGGAAATTGCTCATTTAAGCAGGTGAAGCATTCAGGAAAGCCAAGCTTTCTCATGTACTTTAACAGAGTTTGGTGTGGGAAGCATTCTATGAGTTGCAAGAGATGTTATCTCAATTAACCCATAAAAACATGGGTACATAGGCAGTCATCATTTACCCATGGTTTCAAGGGTCAATAGATACTTTCACTCATCCATAGTAAAATTGGCCCACCAACAGGTATGGGCTGATAGGGAGTGGACTGTGTGAAAATGTTCTGTGAAACTTTGTGGCCTGTGATACTTACTTAGCAGAATAATAACTCAAGAAATCATACACTAAAAATTGAAATTGAACCACCAAAATTGACAAACAGCTATTGAGAAACTGTTTTGGTTTATTTTAATTAGTTAAGATAATATCTGGTTATGAGTGATAAAAGCAGGCAGAAGTATAAAAAATGAAAGAAAATGTAATTGGTTCAAACCCACAATGTGAAAAAACTAATATTACTCATAAAATTTGATGTTGTAAACATCTCCAATTCCTTCCTTGATCTTTCACATCAGAGAAATGAATTTCTAATTCAAAGGAGACTTGTGTCTTTATGCACTTTAATCAATCAAAATCATACCAGATTGCTTATATTAGGAGACAAAGCACCAATTGAGATAACAATCAAAGTCCTCATCCTTCATTCTAAATGTTAAATTTCAAGAAAAATGAAATCCTTGTATGGAAGATTTATGGATGGCTTGTAAGTATA